AAATTCTATTTATTACATTTAGTATAATGCAGATCATTTGACATTTCACTTGACCGGTAATAACTGCTAAAGTATAAATAAGTCAACATCCACGTGTATTCCACATGAAAAGTTCTGTCCATAATGACTTTGGTTTCTATCACAAACAATAATGTTGAGGAAAATAAATCAACATTGCCTCTGCCACAGATTAATCTTTTAGAAACAAATTCTTTAATAGACATTTCTCCAATAACCTATCCAAATACCAATAATGACCGTTTAAAGTTCATAAATCCTAAAACTGGTAGAGTCGTAACAGAATTTCAATATAAGGTTTATGATTTATGCGCACAGGTTCGTATGAAATTCTCGACGCGTTCTAAGTTTTTACAATTTATCTTGATTATTTGAATAATTAATTATTAATTATATAGATTCCCGAGGGTATTATTCATTCTTAATGTTGAAATTTAAGCCAATTTTTATTTCTCAATTTTATTTTAAGTTTTAAATTTATTTAAATGGGATCTTTGCTAGGAAAATAACCTTCCGAGGCTATGTGGATTTATGAATAAAATTTAAATTTGCTAGCGGTCCAGTAATCCAATTTTAAATAAACCTTTTTTTATTTCATAGAGCCTAGTGAAATCAATGAAATAAAAAAAAGTTTATTCAAATCGGATTACTGGATTGCTGGCAAATTTAAATTTTATTCATAAATCCACATAGCCTCGGAAGGTCATTTTCCTAGCAAAGATTCCAAATGTTCTTACAATATGAGAACATAAAATTTTTTGTGTTCTCTGAGAATGCCGAGAACATTGAATTTTTAACACTGTTCATACATTACTTATCGTTAAATTCCATTTAACCCATTATTTATAACTGCCTTAAAAACGTTATAGGTTTTGTTTCAACCTACAAATTATTAGCAACTGCACTCAAATCGTCTCCTCGTGCTGTAGGTGGGGCTTTACGAGTTAATCCATTTGCACCTTCACCTATACCTTGTCATCGAGTTATTGCCGCTAATTTTTTTATTGGTGGTTTTGATGGCGAATGGTTTAAACGTCAACATCAAAACAATGCTAAGAAACGAAATTACGTCGATAGTATAGGGGAAGATAAAATTGGTTGTAAGCTTGATAGATTAAAAAACGAGGGCATTTTTTTCGATGGAGAGGGTTGGCTGGTAGATTGGCAAAGAACTAAAAATGTGTTTTCTAATTTTAATATATAAAAGATATGTCTATATAATTTTTAAGCGGATATAAAATTGGCCAAAAATCCTTAAATTTTTGGTAGAGCTTTCTAATTCGATATAAGGAGAAAGGTCAATTTAAAGAGTTTATTAGCTATCGCAATTAACAGTCACATGTTTTTAATAAATTATATAAAAGTTATTAAAATTTATTAGACTTGAGCTAGTCATTTTTTAAAAAAATCGTAATTTGTATCGACTCCGTATTATAGATGCGGTATATAATGTGACTCCTAAAAAACGAACAAACTGCCAAAAGTAATATTGGCAAAAAATCTAGATACTATAAATTATTTATTTACATAATCTCTGAAAAAGGCGTTTTCTCAAAAACCAGTAGGCATATTTGTCTGCGACACGGTTTAAAGGATAATGTCATTTATATATAAAACAAATTATATTTGCAAGTGACATATGAGCGATCCTAGGGTTATTATAAAGGCTATATATGCATCTCAATTTCATAGGGATCCAAACTATAACATTACTACACAATTTGGGTTTGGGAATTAACATTTCTACATAGTTTAGACTTAAAACCCAAACCCAAATATATATCCCATTTATAATAATAGTGTCAAACTAAAAAAAAAATTATGTATGATATAATAAAATTTATTTAGTTTGAAAAAAAATAAATTGTTTTACAAAATACTTAATATAATAATTTATAGTATAAAAGAAGGTAATTAAATTTTTAAAAATAATATTTATTCTAATTTTATGATTATCTATCTGCTAATTAAAAAAAGGTGATTATTAATAAAAAAAAAATCTTTATTACAACTTTTTAAAAGTGATTTTTTAAATATTATTTTATTAAATAAAGAAAATTATAGTGTATATATTATATACTTGATAATTTATATACAAATACTAAATACTGAATAAATATTTGTTAATTTTTTGTTATTTTTTATTGTATATTGTAGTTAAGAGTTCTAATTAAAATGGTTTAAATATCATTTAATTTATATTAATAAGATGAATTAAATAGTATAAAAATCATTTGATTCTAATAATTGTATTTTGAGATAGTTTAAAAAAACTTTAGTATGTTATATTACTTTTTGTATTAAAATACTTAATCTTTCTTTAAATTATATTAATATATTTAATTTTTAAATATTTACAGACTGAACTAATTAATAAACAACAAATAATTATTATCATTATATATATAATTTTATCTATATTTAAAATAAATCCTAAACTGATTTCTTATATATAAAAATTTAGAATTATTAACTATAATATTAGCTATATATCAAAAGTATTTGATATTATAACAAATTAAATATATTTTGTATAATATAGTAAATATTATTTAGTTTCTACTTAATCCCAAACTAATAAGTTTAGGTAGAATCTCTACTTATCTATATTTAGAATAAATTCCAAACTGAATTTTACATATAAAAATTTGGAACTATTAGCCATAATATTAGCTACATGTCAAAAGTATTTGATATTATGACAAATTAAATATATTTTGTGAAATATAGTAAATACTATTTAGTTTCTACCTAATCCCAAACTAATAAGTTTGAGTAGAATCACTACGGGTAACCGTGTACCCGATGACCCGAACTGTAAAATTTGCCAACTGGATTATTTTTTTGACAAACCGGGTGACCCGTTTTACAACGGGTAACACGATAATAAGCGGGTGACCTGTTTTACAAAGGTTGGTAAATTCAATAGGTATCGATTAAGAATAATCACGATTAATCGTATAAAATTCTCCAATCCCTACCTTAATTCTCTATTTTAGTAGTCGTTTATCGTTCCAA